CCCCCCCAGTCTTCAACCACATGAATTCAGAATGAAAGGTTTGCCATGGCTAAGGAATGTGACTGAAAATGATGTTAGCATCTGAGGAACTTTTTTAAAACTTTGTTTTTAGGGACTTTTTTTTTTTCCTTCTGGTAAGTAGTGATGTTATGAAACTACTTGTTTGACTGTAGTCGGTTGCATGGTTACTTTTTAAGCGTGGAATCAAATGGAGTGGCATTTAGTTCAGGCGGCTTGGTTCCTTGCCATGGCAAAGTATCAAGAAGATCCCCAAGTCAAGTCACATTTGTAAAGCTGCTTCCCAATTGGCTTTGTCACGCAGTGTTGAAGCAGTGGGAGAGAGATTCACCTGTTATAAAGGAACTGACTAACACGAGTATCCCGTCTATATCTGAATGCTGTCTCTAGGTGTAAGCCGTGGTTTCGCCTTCGTGGAGTTTTATCACTTGCAAGATGCTACCAGCTGGATGGAAGCCAATCAGGTTGCTTCACTCACCAAGTCTAGATATTGATGAAATGGAACAAGTCTGTACAATTTAAAAAAAAAAAAAAAAAAAAAAGGTTGAAGGAGTGGTTTGTTCCAAAGGAGTGACTTTATAAATTAAAAAAAGAAAAAAAATAGCTTTGTATATATTAAATAATTGACATTATTAGTCAGTACCATTGCAGAATTTGATCTGCCTTTTAACATGCTTACCTGGCAGGGCTTTGTTAATCACTGAAACCTGTCTGGTAATTGCCAAAACATCTTGATGTTTCCCTTTTTCTTGTTTATATTCCTATTCATTATGTCCTTTGAGAGTATGCTTAGAAGAGTAAACTCTCTGATAATTTAGTCTAATAATAGAAGTCTGTGACAGGCTTTTTTCTTGTTTATGTGTTTAAATCAAGTAATTCCTTGTTTCTGCCTAGAGACCACAAGCCTCCTAGAAGCATGACTTCTCAGGTGGGTCTTTAGGGACTTTGTAAAGAGCCACTGGAATTTATGAACCATAATTCTGATGAGCTTAGCCTGGGAGCCTGTCCTGTTTGTATCTTTAATCTAGTTGGAATGGCATTAGCACTGTAATTACTCTGAGAATGCCTTCTAAAGTCTGTTCAAAGCAAATCATTTGATGTAACATTAACTGAAGTATTTTCAGTTTGCCAAGATAATGTTCTGTTCTTGGCACTTAAGTAATATTTTTATATAAGAACTCTAATGCACAGTATTGGATGCTTTAAGCCAGGTGCATTCTGGAAAGTTATATAACTCATTATGCTGCTTTTCTACAGCATTTTATTATTTGATTGACCCAAAAATAAGAGTTATATTGATTTGTAACACACTGTCATTTATACCGACTCACTAATGAAGAGGCTTTCTGTCAGATTTTTTGGCCCGTCAGTTTCTAAACCCACAACCTGATCTTATAAAAGTACAACTACTTATAAAAGTAGAGCTTCATTCATTTCATACCATGGATACCATCCTAGTAAGTAGACATACTTCATGTTCATATATAAGCCTGAGTTAATGTCATGCTTTCTTAACATGGCAACCTCATTTGTTGCAGTGAATGTGCCAGAATGATTTGCTTGTGAGTTTAAAACTCCTAAAATATTTAAACTTACAAAACTTTAAAGATCTTCACAATTTTAATACATACAAAGCTATATGAATATGTAATGCTTCATTACAGTTCAAATTCACTCCAGAAATAAAAGGACAATAGGATTAGGGAATCAGTGGTAGTTTGGCGTCTCCCCTAGCACACATCTCTTCTAGTGGGATGATTTGTTGATATATCTCCCAGCTACTTTATTTTTGCTTCTGCACACCACAGTGAGTGGATGGCCCTTCAGTTTTTTCCCTCTTGGCCAGATGTGTAGTCTTACCTTTAAATACTACAGAGATAAAATTCACAACATAATCGTAAATAGAGGACTTGCAACAACCAAGTGCTCAATAGCATGTCTGTTTAAAGGGGGTAGACTCCTTTTTAAAATCTAGATGTCTAACCTCCTGTATGAATTTGTTCTGATAGTGTCAACTATCCTGTCCTACCCACGTATCCCACCCAACCTCCCCCCCACAAAATATATATATGCTGTTAGATGAAGGGTTTTAGGGAGAGGTGCTAAGTATACTCTTAGCTAGATTCAGCTTGGAGTTTTGACCTTTTAAAGTTGAGTCCCTTTTAGTCACATGGTTGACTAGAATGGATGAGGTGGTGTATGCATTTATCAACTTTTCCTACCCACCCTGAAGAAACTTCATTGGCCTCCTGGTTACTCATCCTAAGAGTACCATTCATTTTAGGAAAAACACATTTGTCACCTAGGACACTACATGGCTGCAGTAGGCAGGAAGAAATCTCATTTAGCTGTGCTTGAGTTGGTGGCGTTCAAAATAGTCCTTCCTGAGAAACACTTGTAACCACATTCCCTTTTAAAATTAGCTCCCCTTCTGTTTTCCCCCAAAAGACACATCCTGCAGCAGGAGTTTGAGGGAAGGGGAGAAATGTAAAGGCTTTTACTTTACATGAGGATGGGGAATGGGGGAAAAGTGAAAAAAAGCCCATGGACACCATGCTAAGGGCTGAAATAGGAGACAATCAGAACTGAGAGAATTGTGTGTTCTGTTTTTCGAAATATACTGTCACTCTCAGGCAACCTGTCCATGCTGAATGTTAGGACTTCTGTCTCTGCTGGAGACACGGCCTGGTGCAAGTCAGTGTTTGGCAGCTTTCTCAGCACTCCCTGACTCCGTTTACCTTTACTCCGCATCCCATTCTCTTACTGCCTATCTGAAGGATTGGATGGGCAGAGTATAGGTGGCGGTGGTTGGTCTTCCCCGTATGTTGTCCATTTAATTCCAGAGCACTGATTTTTCCGAAGTGTGCTCTGCCCTGGGAAAATGGACACACATTCTTCACAATGGGAATAACTAATTACTTTTTTTTTCTTTTTTACAGAAAAAGTTGGTGATTCAAGGAAAGCACATTGCGATGCATTACAGCAATCCCAGACCTAAGTTTGAAGATTGGCTTTGCAACAAGGTATCTTCCCAGATTAAAAAAAACAATTTAGATATGTATTTTTCTGTTTGTTTCTTTGAATATCCTAACAAGAAAACTAGTTAAAGTACACAATAACCAGATTTTATCATAAGGTGATTGTTGTGGTTTGTGACTTTCCTTGGGTCATTCGGTGCTGGTATTAGAGAACAGAATCCCTACAACACTATAGGTTTTATTTTATTAACATTCTTAGCCCAGTGTTTCAGAAGATTTTAAACTTCGTTGACAAAAATCCATGTGTTCCTGCTCAAGTTATGCAAGATCACCAAAACACAGTTTTGATTTGAGTGTTGACATTGACATCTTGACTCACTGACATTTTGAGAGTGCACTATTGTTCATCATGTGTCTGTATCCACTGGGGAATTGGATCGTATTCAGTTCATATTGTGTTTGTAGATGTTGAATATATGTAAGAATATAGATAGATGTTTCTGAGTTGGATTTTTGGGTGACCTAAAAATTTTCCGAACTTGATAAAAAGGGAATATTACTTCAGAACACTAAGATTTTTTTTCTTGGAAGAATTTACGTGGTGCAACATTCTGAGTTTAGATTATAGTCCTTTATCTTGAATGTGTGGTATCCCTTTTTGCTTTATTGTTGTTGGTTTCTGAACTTTATCTACGGTCCTGTTGCTCAAGCCTAGTTACTACTAGAAAGTCTGGCCTACTGTGAGAAATAATTATAGATAAAACTTTCTTTTTCAGTGCTGCCTTAACAATTTCAGGAAAAGACTAAAATGCTTCCGGTGTGGAGCTGACAAGTTTGGTAAGCCTGGATTCGACTGTTTGGACGATGCATTATAACCTAATTGGGCCATTCTTTTAAAAAAGTATAATTGGTAGGACATTTAAACAAGTAACATGTATATTTTCCTTTAAACCTTTAAGGTTAAATAAATGTTAATGATGATTATGAAAATATAGATACTATTTTTACTGTCAAAATCAAATCTGTTAAAAAAAATCAAATCTGTTGTCTTTGCTTTTTACATTTTTCTGTACAACTGGCATAATTTTTACGTTACATGTTAATAATAATAAAAATAATGAGGGTTTTAGACTATAGCCACAAGTGCTTAAAAAGAAGAACCAATGCTAAATGCGCTTTGAAACTTGGGGTATTTTTATGTTTTGTTCTCTCAAAAAAATATTTTTTCCCTTCAAGTATTGCATTCCCCTTCTTCTCTTGTAGACTCTGAACAGGAAGTGCCCTCTGGAACCACAGAGTCAGTTCAGTCTGTGGATTACTACTGTGATAGTAAGTTGAAGAATAGTCTTTCATCCTTTGTGTTAGAAAACCAAACCAAACCCACTGCCATCAGTCCCAACTCATAGTGACCCATAGAGACAGCCTCATCTTTCTCCTACTGAGGCTGTGTTAGAAGTTGACCTCAATTATAAGGTTTTGTTCTCTCACCAACAGCTTCTATGAGTTGGAACTGATCTGACAGCACTTAACAGCAATAATCCATTTTTAAAGGTCCGCTTTAGGTTACCCCACTAAAATTTTCTTGATGTCCGGGTGAAAGTTACACTAGGAACTTCCCAAAATGGAATTCCGTTTGTTCTTGTACCTGTTTTGAAAAGCAATGGTGGTAGGAACACATAGTCATTTATCTTATTTATCCCCAGCGATCATCCTTCGGAACATAGCACCGCACACTGTGGTGGATTCCATCATGACGGCGTTATCTCCCTATGCATCCCTAGCTGTTAATAATATCCGCCTCATAAAAGACAAACAGACCCAGCAGAACAGAGGCTTCGCATTTGTGCAGTTGTCCTCTGCAATGGTGAGATGTTGTTTGAATCTTTTCCTTTAAAAGAGAGATGGAGCTCTAAGAGGTTAATTGTTGATGGTTAATCCAATTGTGATGTTCTGTCATGAGACTCCTATACTCCCTATTCCCTCAGGTTCAAAGCTCCGTAATAAGTTAACAGCAAAAGTATGGGACTTGTTACTTCAATAATCAATAAAAATAATAAATATACCTGTAGAGAATACTGGCAGAACTGGTATTTGATCCAGTTTTAGTCTTTTTTGCTTTTATTTTTCTTTATTTTAGATTTAGTCCTTTAATAACTCTAGAGAGCTTCATGTCCTAAAGGAAAAAAGAAAGATTTCCTTTCATATCCACAAACAATAAAGACTCATTTTTCATTTTCCCCCCTTTAACGGAAAACTGCTGCTTTCAGTGAGGTCTAGGGGTTAGTAGGGATTTTTAATTACATACAGCAAACTTGTTTTTCTTCACATTCTCCTTCAGGATGCTTCTCAACTGCTTCAGATACTACAGAGTCTCCATCCTCCTTTGAAAATTGATGGCAAAACTATTGGGGTTGATTTTGCAAAAAGTGCCAGAAAGTGAGTGTCTTTATTATACCTACCTAAACTACTGCATCTGCATATTCGTCCAGCAATGCATTGGTAACTACCTGAGTCTGTGCTCTCTACACTGTCCAGTTGCCAAGGAAACTGTCTTCTATAGCTAGCTGACCAGAAAACTCTAGACTAGGACATAGGCAAGTCTGGCAGAAATACTGAAATTATCTGTCATGGCATGCTGCTGTAGTATAGTCAAACCCAGCCATAAATAATTCTTTCCAGATTGGCATGCTGATAGATAGCTTCGTGTATGTAGTGCTTCAATCAAGAAGTGTAGAATTTCCTTTTTTAGTATTGCTCACCTAACCTAGTGCCTTAATAGATGTCAGGGTGTGAAGTAGGACAGTGAGTGATTTGTCTGTGGAGACCCCTCCTTTCTCTGAAACAATCGCGTTGCCTGAATCTGAGTGAGACTTACTGAGAAGCCAGAGTGAATTACTTTTTCCATGGCAGTGTGGGGTCACTGATCAGGAGTAGAAATAAATCATTAAATCTTCGTTGTTTCAGAGACTTGGTCCTCCCAGATGGTAACCGGGTCAGCGCTTTCTCTGTGGCTAGTACAGCCATTGCTGCTGCTCAATGGTCATCCACCCAGGTAAGATGGAGGATCTTTTTCCTCAAGCAGCAAGTGTGGTGGTATTGGCCCTAAGCTGTGTAACGACTTTTTTTTTTTTTTTTCTTTTTAAGGGAATACTTCTTTTTCCCTTGATGTTCACTGTTTGTTTCCTTTTCTGTTTGCATTTTGTAGTCTCAGAGTGGTGAAGGGGGCAATGTTGACTACAGTTACCTACAGCCAGGCCAAGATGGTTATGCCCAGTATGCTCAGGTAGGTAGACATGACCAGTATCCAACTTCTCATCTCCAGAGTATGGAGACTAGTGGCCTTAATGGTGGACTTTTCTTCAGTACTCTCAGGACTACCAGCAGTTTTATCAGCAGCAAGCTGGAGGATTGGAATCTGATGCATCATCTGCATCAGGTAGTAAACTTCATCCCCCTTTTATCTTTTTTTAAACAGCTACAATTGAGGAGATATGACTAGATATTTTAACTGCACCCAAAATTGCAAGTCCATTTATCTGCAAGCGTTTGGGAGGGAAGCCATATTCAGTGTTGTCACCATGTATCTAAGGTTATGGGGGAAGATCAAGAGTGGATGCACATCTCTTGAGATCATGTTGCAATCATTTTTCATCCTTGGAATTCTGTATTTCCCATTTCTGTGGTATTAGAAATTATGGGTGTACACGGGTTCAGATGAGCAAAGAAGGTATGGTCCTGGAGCCTGGTGCCCAGATACCAATCACAAGAGTTGACTGTAAGACGCCTTTGTTTTTAAAATGTTTGTTTCAAAATGATAGAGCCATGCAGTTAAATCTTTTCTCCAAAACGGATATGGATTCTTTCCTCACACATTCTAATAGGATTGTAAGAAAATGAAAATGTTGCAGGTTCAGGGATACTGAGTTAGGTTATAGAGAACTGACATATACAAAGACAGAGGCTAGATTGGGCATTACGGTGATAAAAATGTTTGGCATGGAGGTCAGTGCCCTGGCTCCCCTAACCCCTTTGTTTATCATCAGGCACAGCAGTGACAACCACCTCAGCAGCTGTTGTGTCCCAGAGTCCTCAGCTATATAACCAAACCTCCAATCCACCTGGCTCTCCGGTAATCCTGTGGTCCTAAGTACAGAACTGGTGACTTTTGGGAAAACTTTATTTCTTTACTGTACAAGTATTGTCCTTTCCTGCCCTGTAAGACAGAATTGAGTAATGCACACATTTCTACTTATTTATACACATAAATATATGCTTAAAATATAAATTTTAAGCATAAGATTCCAGTTTTTATGTTATTTATACTTCCTACTTTCTTTGACTTAAACTTTGAAGGTGAAAGCTGTCAGCATGAGTTTTGTTCAAGGATTGCTTTAGACTGGCTTCATTATGTATGCCAAGGGGGCCCCTCCTCCTGGGTGACTGCAGTGATTTAGTTCTCTTAGACAATGTGACAGTTGAAATTATACTAAAGCCACTCTTCTTTACCAGACTGAAGAAACACAGCCCAGCACTAGCACAAGTACACAGGCCCCAGCCGCTTCGCCCACTGGTGTAGTTCCTGGTACCAAATATGGTAAGTCATATCTCATGGGATTGTTGACATGTAGAAGGTCCTAGTTGTTGCTTTTATTTACTCGTCCTTTGTGTGTATCAGTGGGGCACTTGGAAATGTGAAAGAAAGAAAAATTTTAAGACCTGCTGCATCTCAGTGGCTTATAATTGAAAGTAAAATTAGTTTTTTACCTGGAATGACTGTATGTGTAATTTTTTTTTGCAGCAGTGCCTGACACATCCACTTACCAGTATGATGAATCTTCAGGATATTACTATGATCCAACTACAGGACTCTACTATGACCCCAATTCACAAGTAAATACACTGTTTTCCTCCTCAGCTTCACTGGAAATAATATTACTAAATCTAATTATGAGACATGGAATTAAATATTCCCCATAAAGGAGCTAGGAATGCTGAGTACTTTCCATTTGTTTGCTTTCTTTGTAATGCAGGTTAGTTTTCACTTTTTCAGAACCACCAAAATGTAATTTTTGTTTTAGGATTCAAGATTAAGTTTTTATGTTTTTTAAAAAGTGTTTTGGGTAAATATATATAACATTCATTCAGAAAATGCACAAGTGAAACATGCATTTCTTTGAAATGTGTATTCACACATATAACCACCACTCAGCTATTGTTGTTAAGTACTGTCATTGGTTCCAACTCATACCAACCTGTATAGAGTTTCTGAGGAGAGGCTGGTGGATTTGAACTGCTCTCCTTGCAGTTCAAACCAGTCTTGCGGACCAGTGCTTATCCTACAGCTAGCTATAGAGAAAGAAGATTCCCAGCATGTTTAATTCCCTCATGCCCTTTGCCAGTCGAGGCCCCTGTCCCCCCTCAGTAACAACTATTCTGACTTCTATTACCATAGTATTTTATCCAGTTAAAATTTATAGATGGTTGTTAATCTATACGTAAAAACCTAAATAGAGGTTTTGACTTCGTGATTTGTAGAGTATATTATTCAAGGATTTTTAGTACGTTCAGTGTTATTCCTATCACCACTATCTAATTCCAGAACATTTTTTATCACCTTGAAAAGAAATCCTCAGTTCTCACCTTCCTCCAACCCCTGGCAACCATGAATCTACTTCCTAGCTATGTATTTGCCTAGTCTTGGATGTTTCTTATATAGAGAATTATAAATATGTAACTGCTTGTGTTATGTTCCTATGTATGAGAGGGCTTCAGAAAGTTTGTGGAAAAATTCTGTTTTGTTAATTCCATTTTTCTGCAAACAGTTTGAAGCCCCCTCATATTATTGAGGGTAGAATTGAACAGATCTATAGGGTGCTGGTTAATTTTGGTAGAATAAAAGTAACTTTGATGTTCCATAAAGAACAATCTATGACCAGGAGCTATATAGAGAGAGTAGTAAAATAAGCACTTTTAACAGGAACTTGCAATTTATAGCTGCCAGGTCTCTCCTGATAGTATGTGGTTTCCAAAAGAACAGTGCCAAGCTCTGTGTGAAGCTGCATGACAAGCCTCTGCAGGGTTCTCCCACTATTCTTGTTAGCCCTAAAAGTTGTGGCTCCTGTCTTTGCTACCTTACACCACCTTCTCTGGAAAGACCACAACAGACAGACCCTCTCTCTGAGTTCCTATTCAGCAGGTAGAGTGAGTGACTGGGGTATAAAGAAGATGAGAAGATAGGTGTTGCCTATCCTCTGTTGCCATTCCTTCCACACACTTCAGACTGCGTTGTGTTACCATAACTATCTTCCAGCTTCTCAGGCTGGTGTTTATAGCCCTATATTTGGTTGTCTTGGTGAACTTGATGATGAACCATAACCTGGTTGTAATGGAGAATGTGTGATTAAAAACTGCTGAGCCACCTGTTCTGGCTACCTGGTTTGTGTAGTTTATCAATGGAAAGGAGGAAGGCACCTTGCTCTTTGAGTGCCTCTAGGTCCAGGGGCTAAATTTGTGGGAACTAGACTTGGTGTGGCACTGTAGGATAAGCACTGGACTTCTAACCAAAAAGGTTGGTGTTTCAGACCCACCAGCCACTCCTTGGAAACCCTGTCACACGATCTCTTGGCTGACTGCACTAAGGTTTCTAAGAGGTTCTTTATGATCTGAAATAATAACTGATCCACAACATTTGTATTTGTATGTTTAACATAATGTTTAAGTTCTTGATTTAAAATAGTACAAAGTACTCACTAGCTTTTGTATGTTTGTTTGTTTTCTAGTACTACTACAACACATTAACCCAGCAGTACCTTTACTGGGATGGAGAGAAAGAGACGTATTTGCCGGCTGCAGAATCTAGTGCCCACCAGCAGACAGGCCTGCCTCCTGCAAAAGAGGGAAAAGAAAAGAAGGAAAAACCTAAGAGTAAAACAGCCCAACAGGTAAGAACATGATCTTCCAGGGGACCTACATTGTTCTCTTTAGAGTCTTGGTCCTAATTTGGATCTTGGAGCATCTTATAATTTTTTAGTATTATCATATTCATGATATTCATGGCTTATCTGTCTAAACACTTTTGAGTGGTAATCATCTCGTAAGGTATTTCATCAAAGGGATTTTGCTACTGGGCATGTGGTTGAAATAAAATATGTAATGGCTTATTGTCAAGATACATGGGCTTTGTTTTCTAAGTTCCTTTACCTAAATAACTCCATGACACGTAATAATAACAAATTTTTTTTGTTTTGTTTTTGTGATGGTCATTGATGTTTGACATTAGATCGCCAAAGACATGGAACGCTGGGCTAAGAGTTTAAATAAGCAGAAAGAAAATTTTAAAAATAGCTTTCAGCCTGTCAATTCCTTGAGAGAAGAGGAAAGGAGAGAATCTGCTGCAGCAGATGCTGGCTTTGCTCTCTTTGAGAAGAAGGTAACACTAGCAGAAATGGCCATCTTTCACAATCAGGAGCTTAAGTACAACTTGAGACTCATGGCTTGTTCTGTTTCACAGGGAGCCTTGGCAGAAAGACAACAACTCATCCCCGAATTGGTGCGCAATGGAGATGAGGAGAATCCCCTCAAAGTAAGGCAGTACCCACCTGTGGTGTTTTAACGACGATCTCTGGTTTGTTTTTCACTTATGAATCTGAATTGGCATGTGATTTTTACCCAAAACCGGTTATTTCCACTGTTGGTGAAGATTTGGAGTATGTTTTGTATGTAGAATCCATGTTCAGGACTTTGTTTTCCATTCGCTGAGAGTAGGGGAGATGGAGTAATGACTGGGGCCTGTATCTGTAAATCAAGAGTTTTAATGGTCTGGATAGAGAGAATTAAGATAAGAAAAGCCTAATTTTAATTGGTAGACATTGGCTTGGGTGGACCATTATTTTCACTGGCTGTACTGGGTTTTCATTCGTGGCCAGTCATGCAGGAATCTATTTCTTGAGCTATAAGAGACTGTGAGTCCTGCCATTTCAGGGCCTGATGACTGCTTTGTACAATTTGATGAAATGCAGTTCCCTACTACACTAAAGTGTGGGATTAATGGGATTCTTGAACTTTGGTTGAGGCAGTACCTTATCCAGGAGTATAAGCATTTCTGTCTTCCTATTGTACATCTCCAGTGACCCACCCTCCTTTTGTCTCCAGAGGGGTCTGGTTGCTGCATACAGTGGTGACAGTGACAATGAGGAAGAGCTGGTGGAGAGACTTGAGAGTGAGGAAGAGAAGCTGGCTGACTGGAAGAAGATGGCCTGCCTGCTCTGCCGTCGCCAGTTCCCAAATAGAGATGCCCTAGTTAGGCATCAACAACTGTCTGATCTACACAAGGTAACCGTACTTCTCTGAGCTAATCTAAGGTTGGGAGGGGAGGCAGCAGTGTTCACTAAATGCATACTGTTGAATGTTTGCTTTTTAAAATAGAAAGGAACACTGCAGTTTCATGCACTCTGGGCTCTGCTTTCCATGTCATAGTATACGGGTTTGGGTTTTGGCTTTTAAGATACCACTGAGGTTATGACATTTCATGTTAGGATGACCTGAGTTCTTACTGTGTCTATAAAATCTTTTACACAGCAAAACATGGACATCTACCGACGATCCAGGCTCAGCGAGCAGGAGCTGGAAGCCTTGGAACTGAGGGAGAGAGAGGTGAATTAGAACATTGTGCCAATAGGAAGAATATCTTGGGATATCTATCTGCTTTTAGTTTTTATTTTCAGCATTTAGTTCTAGGTCCCAGATGGTGAAAGGATTTGTTACATACTTAAAGTCCCAGCCAGTGTGAGTCATTGTAGACTGGACCCCGGCTATATGTGCTCTGTACTGTCCCTTCCTGTCCCTCATGAGGGTGTTCAACACTGAAGCACATTCTCAAGACTGCTCACAGGTCATGAGCGAAGACTCCTAGCTGCCCTGGCCAGGGGAGCCTTCACTGTTAATGGAGGCTTTAATTAGGCCCAAGGAATGAAGTAATCACAGGAAATGTGGGAGAAGGGATATGTAGAGTTGGGGTCTGTAGGGAAAGGCAGGAAAAGCCTGTGAGACTGGTATGAGCTGGCAGTCAGTGCTATGGGCTGATAAGGCACATTGAGAGCTGGGTGAAATGAATATACAAAGCCTGTGAATGCTGGGCTTACAATTTACAGTGGGCAGATACTAGAAATTTCCTGCCTTGAAAGAACTCCGAGATGATAGTTGTTGTTATATGCCGTGGAGTCGGTTCTGACTCATAGCAACCCTTATACAGGATTTCTGAGGCTGTAAATCTTTATGGGTGCAGAAAGCCTCATCTTTCTCCTGCAGAACAGCTGGTAGTTTCGAACTGCTGACCTCTTTTAATGTTCGCAGCCCAATTTGTAACCGCTACCAGAACTCCTTGAGAATGATAGTAGTTGGGGCTACCTTCTCCCCAAGACCTATTGAGCAAGTATGCCTCTCTGGAAACCTCCTTGGAAACCTGTCTGTCCCTGGAAGTGGACCTGTCCAAATGCTAAGGAAGGGGCAACTCGGCCTTCTCTCCCTCTAGGATCTCGGCAGGTTGCACCTATAGCCCAGTTGGCTGGGTGAAGAATTTGACAAGTGGTGGCTTGTTAAATAAAAGTGCTATTTAGAGACAGTTCTGGCCCTGGTTCCACATATAATCCACCTTTTACAAACCTGGTATTTTAGATATGACTAAGTACAGTGAAGGTAACAAAGCAATTTGTTATTTCAGACCAGTCTAAAAAGCCGAATTCAGATTTCAAAAAATGTTTAAAGGCCATAGTCTTAAAGTATTGATGCTTGAGACTGTTAAAGATTGAATTGAGTGTTTCCAGCAGTGTTTGTTCTTCCATGTAGATGAAATACCGAGATCGAGCTGCAGAAAGACGGGAGAAGTATGGCATTCCAGAACCTCCAGAGCCCAAGCGCAAGAAGCAGTTTGATGCTGGCACTGTGTATGTATTGTGCACATTTTCCAGTTTATTTACTGAGGCTCTGGCTATTTAATTAACTGTGTGTTTGTCGCTGGCAGGAATTATGAACAGCCCACCAAAGATGGCATTGACCACAGTAACATTGGCAACAAGATGCTACAGGCCATGGGCTGGCGGGAAGGCTCAGGTCTGGGAAGGAAGTGTCAAGGTATCACAGCCCCCATTGAGGTAAGCAATAGGGTTGGCTTTCAGTGGGTGCTGGGCTTACAAGCTTATTTGGAAGGTAGGTAAGATCGAAAGATCAGAGTGCCCAGAGGTCCCTGCCAGATCATCTCATCACCACCAAATGAGACATTCTTACTTTCTGCAGCCCTTCTTCACTCCATCTTCATTTTTCATTTAGGATATGAGTTGACAGGTTTTGGTGTAGTACTTCAAATAGATTTTTTTGGTCTTTTTTGGGCAAGGGAAGGGTAGGTAAATTAGCTTTCTCCTTAGGACTATGTGTTTCTATATCCTTCATTAAAGTCCTGTCACAGGACTTTACAGCTGAGAGTACTTCTTTTGCTTTTTATTTTTCCTTTCCTTTTGATTTAATAAAAAGTATGATGATTTGGTAAAGTAGAGGGTCAGAGAAAAAGAGGAAGACCCCCCCCCCCCAGCGAAATGGATTGGGCAAAGTGGCAGCATCAATGGGCTCAAGCGTGGCTACAATTGTGAGGTTGGCCCAGGATCTGGCAGTGTTTCGTTCTGTAGTGCATAGTGTCACTATGAGTCGGTACTGGCTCAGTGGCACCTAACAACAACTGTGATTTGGCTTCTTTCCAAGTGATTTTGGCTACGTATGGAACAAACTAAAATTTAGTAGTATATTCTTCCTTGATAAGATATCCCTTAGTTGGTTAGAACCCAGATAAAGACATAATCTCAAAATCAGAGAACCCTACTGACTGGCCTGCTAATAAGAGCTGCACTAGTGATGGCTCCCATTCTACGCTGGCAGATCATGCTTACCTTGTGCAAGTTCTATAGCTAGCAAAGTGACCTGGCAAATGCTGTCATTTGTGCCTAACATTTCCAGGCCTTCCTCATCTTCATTGGGGTGCTTTGTGGGGAGGGGGTCCTTACCATCCATGGATGATTGCTGACCAGGCATTTAAGGGAAGCATTTGTGATTCCATCTTCCTGTCATTCTTTGCATGTTTTGTTCCTTCATTCCTTAGCTCTGCTGTAGGTCCTCCAATGTAGAAATCCTTGTTTTCATATAAAACGCCTCCTTTATGCTGGGGATGGTTGTGATCCATAAGAAGTGAGCTTGATTAGAAGAAGGCTTGGGAGAAATACCCACCATACCTGCCAGCTGCTGACAGCATTTCTATCCCATCAGGCTCAAGTTCGACTAAAAGGAGCTGGCTTAGGAGCCAAAGGCAGCGCATATGGATTGTCAGGTGCTGATTCCTACAAGGATGCAGTCCGGAAAGCCATGTTTGCCCGGTTCACGGAGATGGAGTGAAACTGAAGGAGTGAGCAGCCTGACAAGGAGCTCCAAGAAGTACAAAAAGTGGTCCCTATCCTGAATTCATTCTTACCACCTGTCCTTTCAGGACACACCTGTGCTATTAATAATTTTTAGGGTGAACCACTTCATTCCATGGGGTTCTCCTGCCTACCTTAAAGGAGGCCTCTAATGTGGATTGTTGAGTGAGTGGCCTTCCATCCAGAAGGTGTGTGAATAGGCCAGCGGTTTCAGTGGAACTTTTATATTTCAGTGTACATAGTGTAATGTAGTGTGTTTTACATGTGCAGCCTATGTTGTGCTCCATCAGCCCTTGCATTCCTCGGAGCTGTTGAGATGCCCTAGGTGGTATATGACCCCAAAGCCACCTCTGTCATTTTCGTTGTGCTGTCTTTTCTTGGCAAAAGCCTTGTGTATATTTGTATATTACACATTTGTACAGAATTTTGGAAGATTTTCAGTCTAGTTGCCAAATCTGGCTCCTTTACAGAAGAAATACCTTGAAAAATGATACTGTTGTCACTTTTTTCTTGGGTGAGTGAGTGGTCAAAGCATGTCATTGTCAGTCAGTCCTGGTGATGAAATCTGTTTGTTACAGGTTATGTATGTATAAGATTTTTTTTTTTAATGTTATTTTCCTTTGCTACCATTACTCATTTTCAGATTTTTAAAAGCCTACAGTACTCAGTATTCCCAGGTAGTCTACTCTCTAAGTACTAAGGAGGCCTGACCCTGCTTAGCTTCCAAGATCAGACAAGATTGGATATGTTCAGGGTAGTATGGCTGTTGTTGTTGGTATGTGCCATCGAGTCGGTTCCGACCCATAGTGACCCTGTATAGGGTTTCCGAGGGTGTAAATCTTTACGGGAGTAGAAAGCCTCATCTTTCTCCCGTGGAGCGGCTGGTAGTTTCGAACCGCTGACCTTAAGGTTCACAGCCCGATTCATAACCACTACGCTACATGTTCAAATTTTGTCAAGTTCAAGAGTTTGTTAAAATATTGTAAAACTTAATGGAAACTATTAACTATAATTGAATTAGCTTTTCCTTCCAGTTTCCAAGAACCAAAGTCAGTTTGATCAGTGTGTCAAGTTTTCAGTTAGTATTCCAAGCATACAGGGATGGGGGTGTTACTGCTGTACAAAGCAGCCCTCCCATCCCTGCTTCTGGCCACAGAACAGATGACACCTGGTCCACCTTCTGCTAGGGTAGAGGAATTGAGAAGGCCATCTATCCCCCTGAAGCATTCCCATTGCCTCTGTCTTCTCTCAAATGCTAAGGAGGTGCCCTGGGACATTTCAGAGCTTTCTCTTCTAAATGGGGTCATCCCATCCTTGTCTCTGGCACTGGAGAGATTTCTATTCAGCAAGACTCTTTTTGGTAAGGGCGGGGAAAGGGTTTCAAAGCTATTCTGGGACCAGGTGAGAGTGATCAGTGCTTGCACGTTAAATCCTGGGCTCCACGGGTTTGGCCTCCAATCAAGGAGGGTGGCATTGTTCTTTGGGAGTTGATTTTAAAATTGGAACTCTACCACTTATGTAGCTGGTCTCTTCCCTATTTTCAGGCAGGTCTGACCCTCATAAAATTGAAGTGGGCAATTCCCTCAGGAGAGGTTTTCAGGGCAGTGCTTCATCACAGTATTCTGCAGAATCCGTGAACTTGGGTTAAGCCTTGTTGGTACGTGCCATTGAGTTGGTTCCAACCCATAACAGCCTTATGAGGAGCAGTTGGTAACCTTGAACTGCAGAGTTTGCAGTTCAAACCGACTTTACATTGTTGTTGTTAAGTGCAGTTGAGTCGATTCCGACCTATAGCGACCCTGTATAGGGTTCCAAGGAGCAGCTGGTGACCTTGCAGTTCAAATGACTTTGTATTCTGACGCATTAGCCCACAGCGCCACACCAGGACTCTAAATTATAACTCATTAATTCACTGTGCCACACAAGGACTCCTGGGTTCAGGCTTGGGAGCCTTAGAAATCACAGCCCAAGTTCCCAAAGATGGGGTGGAGAAATGTGGATCCTCAAGGGTCAGTAGCCCTGGGGAGAGTAGGGCAGCCCCTCCTCCAGAGCAGTTACATGGAGCTGCCAAGGCTCCTAGCACCTGAGCACCATTCACAAGTGGCCTAATTAGACTCATCTGACAGCCCGCCTGGAAGGTGCTTCCAGGTGAGCATGAGCACACAAATAATGGGATCTGGGAAGCTCTTAATTACATACGCTCAGCTCTGTCAAAAGCTGGGTAGGAACTTCTTCCCTGGAGAAGCTGAATATTATCAGGGGAGCCAGCCTTCCACTGGCTATATCGAACCTTAGATTGACTTTCCTAGACTAAGTTGGCCATCTCTGCATGGCACCAACTAAACCTTTCACTCAGCTATTCAAAGCTCCCACAAACTGCTCTAGGCCATTAGGTCTGCTGTTGGCACTGCTATGGGTTTCCTGTATCTGCGCTTATTTTCTGTATTTGAGCCAGCCCCTCAAAAGCTGTCAGATCGCCTTTCTTTCAGCCTTCTCCGCAACTTCTGTCCCCAGAGTCTTTACCCCATACTTAAACCAAAGACCCTGTTTTTCAAGGTTTGACCATATTTGGGAGTAATCCTGCCAGTGCCAAGTTATCCTCAGTCTATAGGGCCCGGGCTTTTCCCCACGAATGATTGTGTCACCCCCAAGCCCAAGTGTGTGTCCAGAGCATAAGGCTGCCACTCTTGACCATGCCTAAACTTCCCAATCAGGGAAATCAACTTGGAAGAGGCTCTTGAGGAACTAGAGGAAACCTCTAGGGATCCCAAGTCCAGACTGCCCTTTCCCAGAACAGGTGCTGCAGGACTTTGAAGACTGACTGGGAGCAGCTGTCATGGCCATGCATCAAACACTTTGAAACCCAGAGGAGTGGCCAGGCCTGAACTAAGCTCCCCAGGCATGCATAGTCTGGCTGGGGGTCTCAAGGACGCCCTGAGTGCAACTAGTCTAAGGGACAGGTGGGGTGTGAAGGGGTGTGTGTGTACACTGTAGACGGGACCCTAGACCAGGAAGAGTGCTGTGCTCCCTGTGGCCACCAGGTGGTAGCACTCCATCTATCAAGATGTGCCTCTTCTATGTGGTGGTAGTGGTAAGTGCCATGGAGTAGATAGAGCCTGACTCTTTTAGTGCTGTCCTGTCAGTTCCAACCCATAGTGACCCTGTATAGGGTTTCCATGGAGCAGCTGCTGAGCTTGAACCACTGACCTTGTGGTTCAAACCGACTTTGCAGTCCAGTGCATTAACCCACAGCGCCACACCAGGACTCCACAACTCATAGGGACCCTGAATAGGTTTCCCAAGGTAAGTTAAGTGCTTATCCCACGACAACATACCAGGACTCCATGAGATTATTTTTGAATCAACAACAGGCTTGGAACCAGTTCATTCTGGTTTGATACCTGCTTAGATTGGCATTCCCAATCAAGATCTACTTTTAACAAGCTCCCCAAGGGATCTTGTTATGATACAGCTTGATTCATATAGATAAAATATGTTAGAGTCGAGGTGTGGCAC